AGCAGCAGACCGAGCGTGAGCTCATGGAAGCCGAAGAAGAGGCCGAGCGAGACCGGCTACGCAAAGCCGCCGAGCAAGCGGCGGTCCAAGAGCGGATTCGCGCAGAAGAGATGAAGTGGAAGGCGTGGGAGGAAGCGGAGGCGATCAAAGAAGCGGAGGCGCTCGCGGCGCGGCGCGCGCTACTCGCCGCGCAATACGAGGAGGACAAGGTGCGGCGCATGGACCTCCACCGCCTCCGAAAAGAGAAAGAAAGCCGATTGAAGAAGATGACCGAGCCCGAGACAACCGTGTCGCCCGTCACGGACCCAGCCAACAAAGGTTCCGTCTGCTACTTTTATAGGCTGGATACGACGGCGCCTAGGTATTCCCAAGGTCGGCTCGTTTGTCGTGAAGCCAGCTCCTGACACCATGGTGTGTGTGTTTCAATACGGTGAGTGCAGACGTGTCCTAGGAGTGGCGCGACGTGGCGGCGCTAAGCAAGGACCAGCTGCGCGACGAGTTGACGACGTGCGCGCAGCTCAAAAAGTCTCTCAAGCAAGAGATCGTCGCGTGGTGCGAGCCTCCATTGTCCGGTACCGTCGCCTAACCTCGACGTAGGTGCGACTCGTTTCAGGCCAAGATGCACCGACCGCCGTCACTGGAGGAGAAGCAGGAAATCCAGCCGCTCTATAAACGCTACAGCGAAGTCGAGAGCCATTTCCGCGCGGTCAAGGCGCGTCTCGACGGCGACGCCAAGCTCGTACCCGTGGCCGAAGCGCCGCCCGTGAAAAGCTCGAGCCCGACCAAACTGCCACCAACCAACGATGCCCCGAGCCTGCAAGTCATTCTGGTACAACGAAAAGATGCCACCAATAGGTGTTGTCTGACGTCAGAGCATACAGACGAATCGCAAGCGTGAAGTCAAAAAGGCCATCCAAGACTGGACATCGGCGTTTCAAGCCGCCCACGGCCACCTCCCAAGTGTCCAGGACAAGAAAGAAATCTTGTCCTTGTACGAAGACTACGCCAAGATTGACGCGCAGCTCAAAAACCTCAAGTACAGTCAAAGTATATTTATGCAGAAGGACTCATGGAGGGACTAGGTATACAGTCGTCAGCGTTGAGGTGCCGACACCGCACAAAAAACTCCAAAAGCCGGTGCACTCGACATGAATGCAATCAAAGAGATGGCGGCCAAGCAAGCGGGCTTGACGGCCAAAGCACCCGCCAATCAAGTCGAGCGACTCGAGACGAAAAAGCTTGTCAGCGACGACAATCAGCCACAGGCCGGCTCCGAAGACACCAAGGCACCGAGAGAGTCGATTGGCGACCCTGAAGCGCCCGAGCCGACACCGTCCGAGCCGGTCGAAGAACCCTTCCCTAGTGCACCTCGAGTGCTCGATCGCGAGTCAAACGTTGCAGAGACGAACGAGCCACCAACTGCAGTGGTGCCGGCGTTGCCTAGTGAGCCTGAGGATCCGAAGGAGAGGCCTGTTTCAAAGGAGATGTCAGTCCCATCGGCGAGTCCGGATCTAGATGACAACCTCCAGACCGTGCCGATAGAAGATGCGACGACAGATGCAGTCGAAGCCCCAGAGGACTCTGCAGAAACGACGACATCGCCCTCCTTGGTTCCAGAGGTACAGCCAATACCCGAGCCAACCCCGCTCCCGAATACCACGTCGGCACCAGTCTCCAATGTCGGCGAGCCAGCGTCGCAGGTCGATGCCATGTCAGCACCGGTCTCCGATGTCGGCGAGCCAGCGTCGCAGGTCGATGCCATGTCGGCCGCCGAAGCGATCGAGTCAACGTCAATGACTTCAGCACCAGTGTCCGATGTACTCGAACCAACGCCGCAGGCGGACGCCATGTCGGCACCAACGGTCGATGGAAAGGTGACTGCAACTGCTGCACAGCAACCCCCACACCCCTCAGCACCGCAGCCGGCATCGATCGTCTCGACAGTTCTCGGTGACACGCCGCCGAGCTCGACCGACGCACCGCCACCGTCGGGCGTAGCGACACCTCGATCCATTCTCGAGAGCAAAGTAGAGGCAAGTCCAGTTGAATCGACGACCGAAGCCAGTGCAGTAAGCGTCGACAACCCAGTGCCACCGCCTGAAGTCACGCTACCCGAGTGGCTGGCGCTCGAGCTCAGCGTCCTCGATGCTCTCGACGACGCGTCTCCTGATGCCGAATCGGCGTTGGAAGCACGACTCGACACCGTGGTCGCAGCCATCCAGGCGCAGACCGAGGCTGCACCCGCGTTCCTTCGCGTCGAAACGGTCGAGGCCGCGTCGCCAGCGTCGGCGGCCAACGTGCTTCCCAACGACCTCATTGTGCGGTTCGGTACTGTGTTGCGGGACGCATCTCAGCCAACGAGTGCATTGATCCGCGACGTGGTATGCCCAACCGTCGGGTGGAAGAAGCGTTCGAACCACATCGTTTTTATGTAGGTTGCGCTTGTCAACGCCCGGGCTGCCACAACGAGGGCGCTCGGTATCTCGGTGCGTCGTGGCGATGCAATCGTGCACTTGGTGCTACGGCCGCAAAAATGGGCTGGCGCCGGCCTTCTCGGGTGCGTCTTGCAGCCGTACGAGGCGCCGTCGCCACCCAAACCTCGGCCGTTGTCTGCGGCCCCCGTGGCGCCTTTAGAGGACGCATTTGATTCAGCGCCCCTGAGACGACTGATACCGCAGCCGGTCGATGCGATGGACTTTCAAAAAGCCGTCGACCACGAAATGCAGCTCTATGATGCTCAAGACGCTCTCATGCAGTGGCTGCAAGCGCACCCGTCGACGACCGCCGACCTGGCGGCGATCCAAGCACAGCTCGAGGCAGTGCTCGCAAACGTAGCCAAGGTCCTCCATAGCCACTTGCGCGACGCTGGCGTGGTTCCGTACCTGCGCGTCGACACGGTCGAGGCAGGGTCGCCGGCTGCCAACTCTGGCCTCCTTCCCGGCGACCTCGTCATCCGCTTTGGCGCCGTCGTATCGGTCGACGGCACCAAGACGCCCGCGTCGAGCTTGATTCAGCACATTGTATGAACATTGCATGCTGTTCCGTGTGGCGAATTCCTTGGTAGGTGGCCCTTGTCAACACTCGGCGCGACCACCGCTTGAGTCTCTCCGTCGTCCGCAGCACCGAAAACGACGCCGTGCACCTCACGATACGTCCGCAGACCTGGGCCGGCGCCGGCGCGTTAGGCTGTGTCCTGCACCCCTACGAGCGCCCGACACTCCGCATCGTCACCGAGCCCGAGCTGCCGTCGTGGCCACCGAATGCCTTTGCCTACATCGACGCCATGGCAGCAGCCCCATCGCCCGCGAGCGTCGCGGGCCTCCTCGCAAACGACTGCATCATTGGATTCCAAGGCCTCGAGAGCGGCGCGACGCTCCAAGAAGCGCTAACGATGTTCAACAGGTACGTCTGTGATCCTGCACAACAAGATCGAACATACGCGTAGACTGACCGATTTTCCGCTGACGCTGTATCTCTCGCGCTACTGCCCTCTCGACACGGCATCGGCGCCTCCCGGGTATCTTGAGTTTGCAGTTGTCTTGCATTCCTGGGACGGCATCCTCTCGATTCAGCCGCTCGTCGCGATCGAAGCACGTGACGATCCGTCGGCGCTACCATATGATGCGACACTGCCGTCGGTGCCCTTTGCTCGCGTTCTGCGGGTGTACCCCGAGTCCCCCGCCGACACCGGTGGGCTCATGGCCGGCGATTACGTCCACGTGATGAGCGACGTGGCGTATCCGTCGCCCGAAGCCGTCTCGGACTGGATCGGCCATCAGTTCTCGACGCAGTCGCACGTCGCGCTGCAGATCACGCGGTGTCTGGACGCCGACGACCGGTGTGCATATATGGATAGAGGAGGATATGACAATGCATGCGTACGCTAGGTATACGGAAATCCAGCTGCGCATTCTGCCCGAGCGATGGTGCGCGCCACAGCTGCACTTGGCCGCGCATGATCGGCGGATGATTGAGCTCTTTGGGTGGACCCTCGAGTTCCTCAAGGAGCCCGTGTACCCGCCGTTCTTGGTCGTTGAGAGCGTCGTACCAGCGTCGCCTGCCGCACTTGGCGGCGTCTGCGCCGGCGACCTCGTCGGCAAGTTTGGATCGCTCCTCAAAGCCTCGCTTGGTGGCACGTCGTCCGTGGCCGAGATGGTGCATCTGTATCTGGGCCCGGAAGCCAAGCAGCTCGAGGGACACAAGCTCACGCCGCTGCCGATGCAAGTGCACCGGTACGATGCCACGACGTGCGTCCTCACCCGCGTCAACCTGTTCTTGCCCCCGCCGAAACCAGGCTTCGACTCTGGGTACAGACATCGATCAAAACGATCACGATCAGCACCACTCATGCCGAGCGTGTAGTGATGGCGTGTGGGGCTGTTGCCTTCAACTATGGTCGCCAGAGGCGCTGGAACCACTCCTTGTCGTCGTGGCCGCGGGCACTTCAAGCGGACTCCAAGAAGGCGACCTGCTCCTGGATGTGCAAGGCGTCCGCGCGCCAAGTTCGCTCGACGCCATGGCGGCCGCGATCGCGTCCGCGTCGTCGTTGACGCTCGTCGTGCAACGCTGGGACCCGGCGCAGTATCTCTACATTTACTTTCCGCTGGTTGTTGCCGTCGGGCCACGCGGGAGCGCGATGGTCGACTGCGAAATTGACGTCGGCGGCGTCGGCTGCATCACGTACACCACCTACTGGCAACGGTGCTCGCGTCGTATGATGATACGATGATGATGCTAATGAGGAGGAGCTGTAGGTACGAGGCTGCGAACCCGTCGGCACTTCCGTGCAAATCTTGCTGGGAAGCCAACTTTGCGACGGTGGCCCACGGCGCTGCCTACTGCGGCCATCTTGACTGCCTCACGTACCTCAGCCAGTACTTTGATGTCTTTTGCGTGGATCCCCTTGGGTACAGGACGTATCCAAGGCGGCTTTCGCCCATGTGCCTGCTGTTTCTTAGGCGCACCCCGTTGTTTTACGCCGCGTACGCCAACCAAGTCGACTGCATCCTCCTCCTCCTCTCCATCGACGTGGATGGCACCCTGCGGGAGGCGACCGACGCCAATGGCGACACCATTTTGCACGCCGCGACGAGCGGTGGCGCCCTCGCCGCCATGCAACTGCTGCTGCAACACGGCCTCAGCACCGAGCGTGTCAACAACCTCGGGTACCTCGCTCCTGACCGACTTTAAATATTTTGGATGGACCGCCGTCGTCGTAGACTGCGCCCGGTGCACATTGCACCGACAATGGAAGCGCTGCAGGTGCTCGCAGACGGCCAAGCCGACCTCGTCGCGCTCGACACTTCGGGGCGCCTCGCGTTGGCGTACGCGTGCATGGCTGGTGACGAAGCGTGCGTCGCCTACTTGGCGGCGGAAGGACCCGAGTTCATCGACTATGCCGACATGGACGGCAACACGCCGCTGCATTTCGCCGTGCTCAGCGGATCGCTCTTGGTGGTTCAAGCGCTTCTGACGGCTGCGCCCCATTACATTCTGCGGCCCAACAAGGATGGGAAAAGCGCACTGGACCACGCGATCGAGCACGGATTCGCGCCGCTCGCTGCGTACTTGGAGGCAACGTGCATGGTGCCCGACGAGTCGGGAGCTGGGCTCGAACCCGCTCTCTCGGATGCGCCATTGCAAGCCTCGACGAGTGAAGCAATCGACTAGCATAGGACTAGATACGTGTCAAGATCGTTTTGTGTGGTTGAGGTGCACGTCGATGCAGATGCGAACGGAAGAACATCCAGTGTCGTAGTATTTTGTACTTGGTAAAACGAATGTCGGGCCGTTTACATGGCCGCATAGCCGGTCTGCGCGTCTTCGAGATCGTGCGGGTCGGCGAAGAGCTGCTCCTCGCGCGACTTGTCCTTCTTGATCTTCCAAACGAGGAAGCCAGCGAGGATGACGGCGGCGATGCACCCGACAACGATCCCGGCAATCGCACCGCCCGAAATACCCGACGATTCGCCAGATGCGTCGCTGTTGTTGGTGCCCGTGCTAACTTCGTGGTCATTCTGGCCGTTGCCATTCGCGTAGCCGCTGTCGTTGTCGTAGTCGTTGCCACCCTTCGTGCCGCCAATCTCGCCACCGTTAGCGCCACCGTTGGCGCCACCATTCGCACCACCGTTGGCACCACCGTTAGCACCGCCGTGGGCACCACCGTTGGCACCACCGTTAGCACCGCCGTTAGCACCACCGTTGGCACC